CAAAAATATGAAAAAAAAAAAGGATCCCATCTTCAAAATGATGATGAAATGAACTCACACAGAGGCCACATAGTAGAATAGAAAGATATGGATTCAGCCCCTTGAGCAGAGTCCCTAGGGCAAGAATTCTGTATACTCACCCCCTTTCCACCATCTACTCTGACCCATAAGTGCTTCATCTCTAAGGAAATGGGATGATCCAGGAAACACAACGTACATTCCAGGGTCTCCTTAACCACACACGTTAGCTTATATTCTGGCCTTGACCCTGGATAGGATCAAGTTGATTTTTGAAACTATAGCCTGAACAGCCCGAGCCAGGTGCATCTGAACCCTGAAATTCCAAGGACTCAATTCATCAATGAGTGTTTTTCTCCATGTACAAAGTAAATGTGTTTTGCTCTTTATTTCTGCAGAACACGGGTTCTTTGAAAGCCACGCTTGCCTTTGCTCATGGGTTGGGAGGAGATTTTGACCAGGGTCCTGCTGTGTCCTTTGTAACCTCAGACGATTTCTTGTCTCGGCTGGAATGTGACCGTCCCCTTGGCCAGGTTTCCCACCAGCCTTTGGAGCTGCTTAAAGCCGACACTTTTGTCAAAGGGTGTCGCTTGAGTGCCTTCCACAAGCTGTTGGGGTCAGATGGTGAACTTCCCATAGGAAGGCTGTGCTTGATTAAATATGCTTCTGGAATCTAAAACTTAGACTTCTCTTCCTCTGACTCCACCAATTTGTAGCATCTTATGGGAGATAAAGGGCCTGCTCCTTTGAGTCTGTGTATATTATGCACCTTTAAGATGAGACTAAACTCTTGCAACCAACCCAGTGTCATTCAGCAAATTACTGCCTATGCAAAGTTTAATAAACACAAGGGAACTTCCTGTTTTCCTCTGCTGAGCATTTCTGTTGATGGTTTATGTCATCGATGATAGTACTTGTCAGTCAGTAATTTGGAAAAGTTCCCATGTTTCGATATCGCCTTCAAAAGGTCCTTGGACCTTGGATTTCTTGGAGTCTCTGAGTCTGCACAGGCCCTAGGTTAAGGGCTGGTGCATTTCTCCCGTCCTGTATCTTTCAACGGAAGGGGCCATTGAGGGGGAGGGGAGGCGACGGACGCCGTAATTCACACGTCTCACTGCAAGCCCTAAACAAAAACCCTGAGAAAATCAGTTATCGTAATCTCATAGTTGACTGAAACCGTATAAAAGTGCCACGCTGACCCTGAGTCACGTTGACCTGAGTCTTGAAACGTGCTGAGGTTGGAGGCAGGCATCAGACTCCAGGTCAGAGTCAAATGGAAAGCCGGTCGTTGTGCTACAGCCGTGTTCACTGAAAGGAGAGGGTCTTCCGCGAGCTTTCCTTGCCTTCTCTTTTTAAATCACAGATACGTGCCTGTGCATGTGATCGGAAAAGGGCTGAGAAATTTACCGTGTTTTTCTCCTCCTGCAGATCTGCCTCAATCGTCGATGTCAAAACATAAGTGTCTTCGGCGTTCATGAATGTGCCAAGCAGTGCCACAGCAGAGGGGTGAGTGGGCTGAACTGCCTTTTTATAGCCAGTCCACATTAAGCACTCAATCATTCATTTTAAAGGACTCTGCAATTCCTATTTTTTTAACTTCTAAGAAATACAGCAGTCACCTCGATCTTGTCTTCTAAAGATACTAATTTTCTTTGCCCTTTACATAGCATAAGAAATGTGACTTTTATTTAACAAAGAGAATCAGACTGAGCAGTAATGATCTTTTAAATGAACATCCTGTGATTTTTTTTTTAGAAAAGGACTTTGTCATCTTCAAAGTGATTTTAAAACTAACCTTCCTTCGTGAAGGATTTTGCTTTAACGTTTCAAGCAGAGCTGTCCTCCTTTCAACCACGATTCAGAATATGTGTCTGAACTGAAATACTTCCAGAAGGAATTAAAACCAAAAAGACAGAACATACTGACCACATGTTCTTGAAATCACGTACAGTGTGCATTTCAACTCAAGAAGGCTGTTAGTTCAGCTCAGAGAGTTTTTTAGGAGAGAAGAGGACGCTAATTGTTTCAAACATAATTTATTTTTCCTGATGGGCTTAATTATTTCCCAGGGAACCCTATTAATCTTGATTAGCCACGCCAGTGGTTCATTTGTTTTTCTGAAACCTTTTCTGCAGAAATCATGCTCCCAATTCTATTTTTAAAACTTGCACACACTCGCCAGTGATCCTAACACAGAATTATGGGGGTTTTCGTGAAATTACTATTGCGTTGGAACCGGAAAGGATTGTGATGCCATCTCAGATGGGTTTGCTGACTGTCAGTGTAAAAGGAAGTCCTTTTATGTCTTCGTGGGATCAGAGATTTCTTTCTTTTTTTTTTTTTTTTCAACGTTTATTTTTGGGACAGAGAGAGACAGAGCATGAACGGGGGAGGGGCAGAGAGAGAGGGAGACACAGAATCGGAAACAGGCTCCAGGCTCTGAGCCATCAGCCCAGAGCCCGACGCGGGGCTCGAACTCACGGACCGCGAGATCGTGACCTGGCTGAAGTCGGACGCTTAACCGACTGCGCCACCCAGGTGCCCCCAGAGATTTCTTTCTAATGGCTGTGAGAGATGATCTGGTACAGCCTTGTTATCTTACTGATGAAGACGCCCAGACCCAGGTGGCAAGAGTGCATGTCCAAGCTTACATGACCGGTTCGTAGTAATGCCAGGGCGGGGTCCCTGGACTCCTTGCTTCGCAACAGCCCTGGGGGCCATCCATCTGGAGAGGAAAGGCCCATATTTTCTGGGTAGGCGGAGTAGCAGCCATGACTTGGTGACGAATAACTTGACTATGGTCCTTCCCCTAGTGAGGCCAGGCTCACCAGCAGCGCCTCCCAGTGGGGTGTCCCGGTTTCAGTCTCTCTACCACAAGCTGCAAACAGGGCACACGACTCTGGTTTGCGTTGGGAGACTGTGCGAAACGGTGTGGCCAGGACGGTGCCTGAATCCTGGTGGGTGTTACGTCAACAGCGGCATCGCTGAGGAACAGGCGACACTCGGTAATCTGTGCTCGGACTTGGCACAGGCCGTGCCCCTCAGTAGTTAATTCTGCGTGGCTTCAGCTTATCAGGAATATACTTTCCAGCTTCTCGAGGGTTATCTTGACTGTCGGTCTTATTTTAAGCAATTGGGGCAGGTGGTTGATTCATCACAAAAAAAAAAAAAAAA